TTAAAAAAAAAAAAAACACCTTTCTTTCTTAAAAAAATGCTTAATCAAAGCAGAAGGTGGAGAATTTAATAGTTTCTACAGGGTCAGCAAATTTTTTTAATAAAAGGCTAGACAGTAAATATTCTAGGATTTGTGGGCCATGTGGACTCTGACACAACTACTAAACTTTGCCATTATAGCCTGAAAGCAGCATGGACAATATGTACACAATGGGCATGACTGTTTTCCAAATAAAGCTTCATTTATGGACAATGAAGTTTTTATATGCCATGAAATACTTTCTTCTGCATTTTTCAACTTTTTTAAAAAAGGTAAAAACCATTCACTGTTCATGGGCTCTGTAAAAATAAGTAGGCTGGATTTGGCCTATAGGCCATGGTTTTCCAAACCCTAATTTATACTGTTAGGGTGTCTCAGTATTAGGTCTAAAGTTTAAGAGAGACACCTGAATTTGAATCTTAGTTGCCTACCTATTAACTATGTGATCTTGCGCAAGTTACATAATCTTTTAAACCTCCATTTTCTACTTTAAAATGGAGATTACAATTCCTATTTCAAAATTTTTTTAAAAGCTTAAATATCTTGTATTTGAAACACCTTGCATAGTGCTTGGTATGTAATCAGTGCAAATAAATGTTCATTATGATTGTCCAAACACTAATGCTACCATTGTGGAACTCATAAATCATTTAACTTACCTGATTCTCAGTCTTTCCATCAGAAAGATAGAAAATTTGCTGTACCAAACCCATAGGATTGTTATGAGACTCAGGTATAACTGTATCTCACAGTGTGCCAATCTACTATCCACCCACTCACTGCTAGACTGATTTTCTAAAACTACAAATCTGATCTTACTATACCCCTGTTCTCAATTCTTTAAAAACATTTTTTTAAATTCTTTTTTTATTTAATAAAGATGGGGTCTTGCTATGTTGCCCAAGCCAGGCTCTAACTCCTGGGCTCAAGTGATTCTCCTGCCTTGGCCTCCCAAAATGCTGGGATTACAGGTGTGAGCCACCATGCCTGGCCCTGTTCTAAATTCTTGATGGCTTCCTACTGACCATAAGGTGGTCTAAACTCCTTGGCATGGCTACTCAGCTTATCATACTTGGTCTTGGCCTTCCTTTCTGGCCGCATCCCCCACCATTCTTCCATATGAACTATATGCTCCAGATGTATGACACTTGCAGTTCCCAGAATATCCTAAGCTCTTTTCTACCTGCGTATATTTACGTATGCTGCTCCTTCTGTCTGGAATGCCTTGTTACCCTATCTTTTTTGAATTTGTCCTTAAACTCTTATTACTAAAGTTCAAGTAACAGTTCAAGAGAAGCTGCCACCTCTCTCAGCGAGGTCATCTGACTTTCCCTCATTTGTTCACACATGGTAAAGTTGAAGCCTCCCTCATCTGTCAAAGCACTTTATATAAACCTCTCTAATGATTCTGAACTGTAGTAGTCTCTTTGCTTATTTGCTCCCCCAGTTGGCGGAAGACTCTGCAGGAGAAATCTGTTTATCTTTGTAACCCCAGGGTTCAGCATAACATCTGGTATATAAAAACTCAACAATAACTTAATAATGAGTGAAAGTACTGGTAAACTAAAAAGTACCATATGAAATGAGATAAAACATTGTAGCATTATAAACAGTTTAAAATATTGACAATAGGATAAACTTGACTTACCGTGTATGAAGCAGTGTGCTAGGTACTTTACACATACACAAACATATTTAATCCTCAACATGATCCTACAGAAACATTATTACCTCCATTTTCAAATGAGGAAACTGGCTCAGTGAAGTTAGGTACCTTGCCTAAATCACGTAATTCATAAGCTTGGGAACTTGGACTACAATTTATGTCTGCTGCGCTAGAGAACTTTGTGTTCTGAAACACTTAGTAGTAGATCTCATGTTCTTTCCTTCTTAGCTGATATGGGAGAGACATTCTGAAAAGTAGTATGATCATAGCAAAAGGAGGAAGCTCACTGTAAAGAAAGAAGGGGAAAAAGGAGGTGGGGAAGCACTAACAAATGCTTCTATTTCATGTCATGTACAAGTGCAAAGGCCCAGAAGAAAATCTTATAGAAGAAGAGTAAAAAGTTCACATTACCTTTTAGTCATGTCTTCTATAGGATAAATGCTCAATTCATTTTACCTCTCTTTATATGAGCTATTTTTGAAATTAAATTATTTTTAGCTTTTTATTCCAATTCTGACATTTTAGAAGTATGACAAATAAAACTGGAGAGAAATAACACACAAAGTAAAATATCGCCAAGCTATCAATTCCTAGTCTTGTAAAGTCACATCACTTTTCATATAACCCAGTAACAGACTGGCTTTGTCCATGACAGCACTGCATTCCTGATTTGTGTTCAGTTTGTGGTCAATTACGTGGGTATTGCTCCAGGTCATTTTCTCCTATATTTATTCTTAGTTGCTCTCCAAGCTCTGTTTTTATTGTTTGGGTTTTTCCTCAAGGGAACCTGTTTATACTTGCCCTACTTTTTTTCTCATTATATGGATTTTATTTTCCAGCGAATTAGTAGTTTATATAATTTAAATTCATTGGAATTTATCTCTGTCATCCTAAACAATTCTGTATGTTATATTCACAACCCTTGACAAATTCCAACCTTTTGTATATAACTTTCAACTTGATTTACACACCTAAGATAAAAATGTGTCATTCATAATTTACCAAATTTTTGTAGAAAATTCTTATAGGAATTAACAGCAAGATTGAAGTAAACAATGATTCTTTCAATCTCTTCTCTCTCCTTTATCTCATAGTCACTCTAATTTTGGAGAAAATGAAGCTGATATGGGGGAAAAATAGGGAATTTTGACAGAAACATATGCTCTTTGAGGTCAGAGGATACTCTCATAACTCTTGGCAATGTTGCTAATTGCTATCGTTTTTTAAGATTTTCCTTAAATAAATACTCTGGGCTGGGCGCGGTGGCTCAAGCCTGTAATCCCAGCACTTTGGGAGGCCGAGACGGACGGATCACAAGGTCAGGAGATCGAGACCATCCTGGCTAACATGGTGAAACTCCGTCTCTATTAAAAAATACAAAAAACTAGCCGGGTGAGGTGGTGGGCGCCTGTAGTCCCAGCTACTCGGGAGGCTGAGGCAGGAGAATGGCATGAACCCGGGAGGCGGAGCTTGCAGTGAGCTGAGATCCAGCCACTGCACTCCAGCCTGGGCGACAGAGCGAGACTCCGTCTCAAAAAAAGAAAAAATAAATAAATACTCTGGTGCATTTAATTTTTATTTTATAAGGAGAATGACAATAACTGGAAAATTCAACACATAATTTCTCAATGAGAAAGCTCATTTTTCTTCTAGTAAGCAATACGTGAAATAGTTTTGTTGCTCATTAGATACAGAATCAGAACTTTAAAGTTTATTCACATGTAGTCATATGTGCATTCTTAAACTTTATTAAGAAAAAGTTATGTGCTTGATTTACAACTATGTCCTATTTTAAAGACATGTATACCCCAAGTTCTACTGTTGAAAGTTCTTTCAATAACTGTTTTGAAACGAAAAAAGTTAACTAAATAAGTCTTTAAGATTGTTTTCTTCATCCACCTATCAGCTGCCAAATGACATTGTGTGATACAAAGTCATACATCTATTAACACCTTAATTCTGTCACTCTCTGTGTAGCTAACTACGAGAAGTCATTTAACCTACATGAGCATATTTCCTCATTTGAAAGTGGGAATAATAATATCTGCCTTGCATGAGTGCTCTGAGGAGGATTTTAGGTAAAGCATATAAAGTACCTAGTGTACATTGCTGAAAATAACAGGAATGCAACTCATGGTAGTTCTTATTATCATTAAAGGCCTTTTTATTACCAGGCTATAAACTCTCTAGAAATTAATACTATGTTATTCTTTCTATAACAAAATCAAAGCCCAAAGTTTTTCAATCAAAATCAAAGTTTTCAAATGTCTTGTACATCTTAAACGTGATAAAGGATAAACTATTTTGACTGCAAATTTGTTCAAATGCAGGTGAGATTAGAAAGCAAACAAAAATACACAGGTCACAAGAACGTCTTCTTCCAAAGATAAAATCTAAGAGTGAACTGATACTATTAAAACTTATGTTTGTTGAAAACGTATTACCTGTGGAATCCAGCCCATAAAACAAGGGAGCACTGATGACACGCTAGGAGAATCAAGCTGATTTTCAGAAAGTTGATTTCCATCAAAACTACATCCTTCTAGTAACAAGCCACTGATCTGCCGTGGAAACAAATAAGTCATGAAAATATGCATTAAAGTCTCAAACGTCAGAGGTTACTCTATTCTATCTTAAGAGCAATGCTTTCCATTGTGTTCACTGATTCCAAATATATGAAAACAAAGATTATGGTACTGTATTTGAGAATAAAGTCGGTAAGGCCTGGACTAGTGTTCACCGTCAACTTCTTTTAGACTGATTTCTCATTTTTAGCAAATATATTTTTTAAATTACTTATAAATCTCATCAGTTATGCAACCTCAGGTGTCTTGATATTAGTGTAAATAGAATTACAGTGGCAAAAGCCAAAAAGTTATTCTTTCTCCACGAGGGAAGGGAGAAAGGCATAATTAGACAGCAAACATTGTATTCCCAACCTGGAATTCTGACACCTTTTAAGGAACAGAATAAAGTTCAGAAAGTGTAATGAAAAAAACTGACATGCAATATGGATATGAAAGAAGAATTAGAAGAAAGAACCCATGTCTTTAAGGTGACCTTAGTGTAAATGTAAGAAATCCTGAAAATGAAAACATGGTTCTCTTGTTATTATTAGCTTCATATTTCTTCTTTGACACTCTTCATTCTTTTAGTTTCTGCAGTTAATCTAGCCTGACTATCTAAAGGCAACAAATGTAGAGTCAGTATTTGGCATTTATAGCTCTTCTGGCACTTTGCCTTAAGAGCCACATATATATTATCATAATTGGAACTTGGTACAAAATATAAACAGTCTTAAAATATGCAGTGCCGGCTGGGCACGGTGGCTCACACCTGTAATCCCAGCACTTTGGGAGGCCGAGGCGGGTGGATCACGAGGTCAGGAGATCGAGACCATCCTGGCTAACACGGTGAA